ACCCAATACTTCCCAATAAAATGATGTTAAAAAAAACCAAGATGTAATTGTTTACATGAAATCGATGATTACTATCCATTTATTGTTATATTTACAATGAGATTATTGTATCTTAGTAAACGTATGCATTTGCCATCTCATAGATACTTGGGTGAACAAATTCAAATATTTATCCACAGGATGGTGAACTATAATATTTTACTCTTGAGAAGATAAAGCAACTGGATTACAGATATTTGTCTATGGGAGAATACAGAATGTATTTCAAAAATGTGATATTTATAAATTAATTTGATTAAGCATTGACTGTTTATTACATTTTCAATGACAGTAAGGTTAAATTTAGTTCATAAAAATGTATAAATAGGATAAATTTAACTGTGGTTAGTGCTCTCTTAGTGTAAGTTCGAAAGCCTTAATGCTAGTGAAGATTGAATGGGAACTGGAATTCATATATTAACATGTGGTTGATTGTTTTATTCATCAATGATGATAATTAATTGCATACATTTCCTATGTATGATATTGATTTAATGACCTAATCTGCTGAAACGTCCTGGTTAATCGGACCACAACATATAGATTTTTATGATATAAAAAAACCAACTACTTTTAGACTTCAAGTTTATTTTGACAACTGGTGATTACTTACTATTTTCTCTACCTATTTGTAGATATTAACTCTTCATTAATTAGATGGTACTACTTCTCTCTTAGAATTAGTTTAGATGGACATATAAATGAACAGTGTTGTTTAAAACTAGATCCTATTCAGGCTCTATTCTAATATGTAGTTAGAAATAGATACATAGAGATACGTAAAACGTAAACGAAAATACATTTTATAATAAACTTATTTTTAACACTAATGATAAGTCTTTTTGTACTGGTAACAAAATTCAAGACAGTAACTTAAAATAAGCAGATATTTTAACCTACAGAGTAGCCCAAAAATGAAAAATTATCCCTAGGCTTTGCACATCGAAATTATCAAATCGAGCGGTTAGAAATAGCTATGTAGGCGTTTATTAGTTATGTGAACAGCTACTTCTTTCTAGTAAAGAACCTCTTAATAGTACTCACCACTCTGCTTTTAAAGACCGCCAACTGAATTTAACTATTAGTAAACAATACCAATAAATTAATCTCTACAAAACTTGTTCGATACTACTATAGTCGTACTCACATCGAGAAAAGTTCCTGGTTTTCTAGTGAAGAGTGACTAGCGGAGTTCAAATACAAAAGTGAAACAGTTTACACCAATGACGATGAATGATCTTCGATCTATATTACAAACTGGCTGACGTCGGAAGTGTGTACAATCTGATATCCATCCAGTAGTGTAACGGTTAGGTACTTGTCACGAGACTCAAACCCGATGAGTTGGATCTCTGAATAGGTCGTGAGTACTCGTGAGGTCTCACTCAAGCAATAACCAAGAAAAATAGAAACCTAGTCTTCTTTTCGAAAGTTTGATGAGACTACTTCACTACTACTAGTAGTAAAATAAATTTCTCAAATATTCAGTTGTTGTCTCATCCCATCAAGGCGTCGATTGAATCAGTTAACATAATAAACATAAGATGAATTCTCGGTGCAATGAAGATGACGAAACGAAATCACAATAGAAACTTACTCGAATAAAGTTTCAGGAATCAACCAATTAGTCTGAAAAGTATTTGTTCAATGAGGCCAACATAGAAATCTTGATTTCAAAAAATAACGTAACAGAATTCAATGTTGAGTTTGTATGGATTGGAATAGGTGGCATCTTTTGTTCAGTTATATTTGCTGATGTCAAGAGTATCATATCCTTTAATTTCTTCTTGGTACCTAACCATTTAAGACGAAAAAGTGTTATTCTGTTTACTTTCTATGTTTATCCATTTATTAATCTGAATATTTTTCAGCAAACTCCTATTTATTTAGTATCAAGATTGCGATGGATTTATGAACCTACATGAACTTGTGGTACCAAGTATATAGGGAGGACTGAGAGAACAGTATCTACATGTTTCCTTCGACATCTATGCCTGAAAGGAAGTGTTCACAAGTATGATTACTAGAGCTTTAATGGACAGTATGCAAAATATTGATATCACAAAGAAGTTGGCAAGCAAGGAACGCAGGTTTAAACAGGTCATCGCCATGAAACACTTTTGGCTTAACATATGTACACATGAAAAATGTGGAAAACCTATCTTTGTCATAGTAAAACGATAATAGTAATGAGGCTTCACTAATTACATGATACTTGATGATTATCCACGATCGTTCGCTCAATATTTTACTTCAACCATCCAGTTTGATTGCATAATTACCGGTTCGTTGACTGTCTCATGTTGTTTTCGAATTATTAGTTATGAATTCACTCCTTTATAACACTGAATTTTCAACCTATAAATCATGAGTCAGTTGAAGCTAGACCACCATTGAAAACCTGAAAGCACTGGACGGCCGTTTCGTCCTAGTATGGGACTCCTCAGCAGTGCGCACCCATGATCCCGCACCATGATTTAAATCTGTGAAAATTTCTAAAATCTCCACAAACCCCTTCTGACTATAAATATTTGTCAATCCAAGACAAATTTTGTTGTAGTATTACTACAATGTCAAATCTATACTGTGCTAATCCAATCATATTTGGATGTTGATTTTAGTAAATAGGATGATATGAGACAGTTAAATGCGAATCACTTGAAAAGTTCACGATGTGAAAATAAATGACTGAACGAATTGTATGTGTAAGATCGAGTTATTACTAGTTGATATCAAGTGTTAATATGTTTTTATATATGAAGGTGAAAATAAAGATGCAAGTTGAAGGTTGAAAAATTGTTTCTGCATCATTGATGTGCATGTAAAATGAGAATAATCAAATACATAATTGTATTGCTAAGAACAACCCACATTAATTTCGGTCAAAATAACGATGCATGTGAAATAAACAGGTTGAATAAAGAAAGCGTCCAATTACTTGTCAACAAATATTTGTCAAGTAGTTGCTAGTTGAAAACCATCCTTTTGGTTTAGGATGTTCTTGTTCGCCCATATATACAGCGCTTCTGCTGTCAATCTTTCTTTATGAGTGTTAATACATTTCTGAAGTATTTTGGTCCCTTCAAAGTTAATCTTGTGTCCTGTTTCCAACGCATTTAACGCTATCTCCGACTTATTATCAAGTTTCTTTATGTCAACTGAGAATTTAGGAACATTTTTCAAACATTGTTCGTATTCAATTAACCTCACATTCAAATGTCTGGAAGTTTCTCCCAGATGAGCTGCATTACAATCATGACAGTTGGTCTCATTGACAATATTCTATTGTTCTTCCTTTTGGAACCTATCCTTAACTTTCACTAATGCTGATCTTATAGTGTTACAAGCCCGAAAATATACTCTTATTTCATGCTCGTTTAGAATCCGCTTGATTTCTTCCGATGTTTTACTGTGGTATGGGTTGATCACGGTGGACTTCCAATCTTTCGGTATACATTCTAGTTTAGTTTTTTTCATTGCTGATAATCTTTAAAATCTCTTTGAGTTAGTTGTTATCTGTAAGTTTAGACAAAAGTCTATTCAATCCAACCTGTTGGTCTTCCTTATTAAGAACCCAATCTTACACATATATACACACAAACAATTCGTTCAGTCACTTATTTTCACATCGTGAACTTTTCAAATGATTCGCATTTAACTGTCTCATATCATCCTATTTACTAAAATCAACATCCAAATATGATTGGATTAGCACAGTTTAGATTTGATTGTTAAACGCTATATATTTCTTTGATGAATTTGATTATTACCCTGAATAAGTCCAGACAACTTGACTGGATGAAACGTTGGACTTATTTTAAATTTGAATCGCTGAAATTATTTCAACTATAATTTTCATATTTAATGACTTTTCTATACTCGGCGCCCAATTATTATCAAACCCTCCTTTCTAATATTGACGAATATTTGTACAAATTTCATGTTTGCTTTCAGACAGATTAGAGAAAAAGCATATGCGACGAACCATAAAGCAGAAAGATAGCCTTATGTTATAAAAACACTGTTCAGTTTTGAGTCGAATTTCCACTATTCCCACTGTTAATATTTTATTTAACGCGAGGAAGAAGTAATAAACTGTTTCGCTTCGCTCAACCTAACGGGAGTGTTCAAAAATAAAGTTCAATTGGCTTAGTTAAAAATCGCAATTAGTTTTAAATATACTCTTAAATTTATTTTTATTATTATTTTAACACAGATATTGGTACAAGGAGGCACCAAATACATATGCGCCACACAAATCTCATTCGATATGTGTGAGGGCTTTGATACTGTCCGGGTGCCCAGACCGAAGCAGGTGGTTTTCTTAGAGGGCCACACCCCGAGCCTTCAACCTGAAGGTCTGATCCACAAGGCAGTGGGGCATCGTGAGGAGATGCAATCCCATGGAAGCCGGTGACCAACAATTGGTTCATACGCCATTTGTTCCCTCAGGATACTGGGGCCCATGTGCACCATTGATTTGGTTTGGGATCCGGTTAAAGCGCCGGACATTCGCTTTTCGTCCTCTCAATTTCGTAAACAACACCCATGGTGCGAGAAGGCAGTGAGTAGGACTTCCCTGGCAGAGGCTATGTACGCGTGGCCATGTGAGAGCATTTCGAGAGGGAGAGCGGACTCTCCCCGCTCTCGGCCATACCAGGGCATTTGGAGGAATATACTTTACCAGAGATTTATAATTTCATATGGTTTCATATTTGAAATTAGGCACTCTACCTTTCATATTTTCTCCAAAATGGTAGGATAAAGAAATTACTATCAAATTGTCTATTTGTTAACAAGATATTGTAATTAAAAAACCTGTGTTGTGTGTACCGATCGTGATCAACCAAGATAGAGATTTAAGTTATTATTATCAGGCGACAAGTTTACATTCATTTAACTAGTTTGGGAGTGATATTTGATCTAACTACCCAATAAACAATAAAAAGCAGAAAAGGATGTCAAGCAGAGACCTTTGTTTATAATAAATCTCATGTAAAGATAAAAAGAACATCTCTAGATTTATTTCCATAAGGTCGTGTATCTTGATTAGTAAAAATTGGTACATAACATTGATCACAGAAATAGTGTACAAATGAACCAATCATTCAACATCTTCATTGGATTCAGAATTTACGTGAGCTACTAATTCCTTAGCGGTGTGTCCCATAATACACGGACTAGGTTCAATGTTGGCTAGTCTCATGAAATGTAATCGTTCAAAACGTCCGATATAATGTCGTATGCTTTTAGCTCCACGCCAACCAGAAAATACAAGTCTGCAACGAGGTAAACTATCACATGTCCACGATTCATCCTATTTTATCAATATAAATTTAAAGGTACAGATAAGCAGTTTAAGCGACGCTTAACAAAAAATGTTTGATGTGTATACTAAAATATAATCTTAAAATCAAGTGTGAGATAGAGTATATACATTACACACATTGCAATAGAAAAACGGTGGATAAGTACGAAACATGAGACAGTGGTGACAGACAATTGATTTTTAGTAAATACAAGTTGGAAGATGATATAACATTAACCTGTATTTTATTATACGTCCAGATGTCATCTTGTGAATATTCTCGTTTACGAAAGTTTTCCAGACCGTGTGTAAGAAAATATAACCTTCACAGTTTGCTTTACAAGGTTGAATATTAGTGCTCTTGACATCTTCACTTAGAACGGTGGGTTCAAAATTTCACAACACCTACTTCTGTCTCTATGGTCAAATATATTGTTAGTTTTTGTATTAACAACACATGAAACTGCACCTAGCTATTAACTCACACTGAAAACTAGAATTTTGTTGGTTCGTGCAATGTTTCTGCCGAATCATTTCTCGGTTTTCTCCACCTCATATCCACTTTATGAAGGTATAAAACTGGCAAACAAAGTGAACAAATACCCTACTTAATTGAGCTGGACAAATTCCGTAAATGAGCCTTGATAGGAGTTATAACCATCTCATATCAAACTATTAATTAGTAGTCTGGAGTGTCGAGAGAAAATATTGATGGAGTATATACTAAGGATAGTCACATTTAGATTGCAAATTAACATCAGTTAATCCATCATTAAGACACTCACAACATTTGCGATTTTTAAAAAAAAATACAACTTAAATACTAAAAAATAAACTTACATCACTTGTGAATTCAGTAACATTAGGTGTATAATCAATTAAAATCGGACCAGGTGATAGATTTTCACACTGACGACGAGTTGATTCAGTCATAAGACTTAACAATGGCATCTCATACTTTAAAAGTAACACTAAATCACAATATTCATTTGACGTGAGACGAACACGACGATCGCTTGATAAGGGTATAAAAGCATCAGCTACTTCGATTCCATCTTGTAATAAACGATATCCTTCAAATTGTTTATCTTCAACTGAGGAAAATATTCGGACACCAGTGTTGACTATTTTCAATCCTAAACAAGAAAATAATTTCAGTAAAGAGATAAGATACATCTACCTTAAAGTACGAATTAAGCGAAGTCCCTAATAAATATATTTCTTCATTCTAATTAAAATAACTGTGGCTGAAAATTCGAAAGGTGGTGATTTATTTTGGTAAATACTAAATCTTTGTACAAACTGAGACAAAAGTGAACCAAAAAATTCAGTAATTAAATTGATTTGGATAACTACATCATCAGTCATAATCATTACAAGGCCTGTCACAAATGACTCCTAATACCAAATCGGAACACCCAGATGAGATTAACAAGATTAGCTGGAACGAAATAGAAATAATAGTAATATCAATGACTCAACAAAAGACCAAACATTGAAGAATACTGTTCAGAAAGAAAGGTTGAATTCGAGGAATACACGATATGAAAGTAAAGAAGAGTGAATGCATTTGTCCGACTGATTGATCCTTAGTCATGTCATACAACATCTATAACTACAGATTGCGACTGCTGCATAAACCCAAACCAGATAAACTGCATTTACGGATGCCGCTCAGTTGAACAGTTAATGAATTTACATGATTGCCCCCTTTGCATTTGGTTGTCTCAAGTTTCCTTACAAGCTATTGCTATCATTGTATCAACGTAGGCGGCGGTTGAGCACAAGTAAAACATGTTCAGCCACTATCTCATCATTTAGATTTGAAATCAGCATGGTTTTATCGAGTTTACTATTTTCGTGGACCATTCAAACATCTAATGATGATGGGATACTATATTAGTAAAACCAATTTTTCTGTGGTAAGCACAAAAGGATTTAAGGACCTTTCTTATAAACTAGGAGGAACAGTGATCTAAATTAGTCGGAAGGGATTATGTCTGGTCTACAAAGTTTAGCTAGCATCTCAGACAACTTAACTGTTAGAACTCAACCATAATCCTTGAAGACTTGGAATCAATTTTAGGTTCATGATGCTGTCTTTCTGTTCTACGTAGGCGGTCACCAGATTAAGACGTGTTTTTCGCTTACGTTTAAGGTTGGTTCGTATCAAGAATAAAATGTTATCTGGATTAAGAGTAGTCAGAAGAACCTGAGAGCGTAACCACAGTGTCCAAAGGACAGCTGCTTGAGGCCGGTCACAAACGGTTAGTTTGGTCAGTAGTTTTGATGCATTAGTTCTGCACTTACCTCTAAAGACAGAAAATTCCTTCTTCCATTGTGAGAAATTAATATCGTTGGGGATTCTGCGTATCTGGACGAAGCATATTACTGCCGTTGGACATTGGTAGAGTCAGTAGTAGGATTTGAAGGAACAGGTATTTCAATCACTATAGGTCTATTGAGTTATCAAGTACGTCCGACCATCATGTCAAGACAGCATTTACAGCCAAAAAAATTTCACATGATATCAAGAAATCTCGATTCAGTAATTCTATGTACTCATACTGTACAAAAATATTATAGGTTCGACTTGCGATCGAGTTATTTGGAATATCCAAATTAACATATGAAGTAATCATATGGTAGATAAGAAATAGAATTTTGAGCAGGCTTTTAGGAGTACCAAATTGTCTGTATATCGAACGTGACCCCCATATGTCCGTATGTGAATCAGCTCCATAACAAGTGGGTTGTATACAATTTCATCCGATTACTGACAACGGGACTTTCCGTGGAGTTTTCGACTTAAACCATACATACCTGGTTTATTATGTGCAAGAGCGTGTGTCAGTTACTAAAATCGGACCACAGAACACAATAAAACTGCATTGTAATATTTATTATTATTATCACCACCACAAGAAATGAATCTTTTGGGTTCGACTGATCTATGTGATATTCCGTGAAATGAATGATAGGAGAAATAATCATTTTAGGTTATCAATCTGACCAATCAAAAGCTTAATTATGCTATAAACAGCTAGTAGAATAGTTCACGAAAACACAATTACAGAAATGTTAAAAATGTACTTAAAAGTTCTCGATCTAAAAATGACAGGAAATATGCCGAATTGCACTGTATGATCAATCAGTGAAATATAACTACTGAATTACTGGTAATTTTTATCAATTAAAATGTTTTATCAACACTTTTAGAGGTAAGTCATATAAAAGTATTAAACTAACCTCTTTCCTTATTTGTTGATACCATATTTTTGATAAGACTATTTGTATAGTAGAGAAGGCGACAGCGATTTCCTTCTCCACCAGAACGTGAAAGCAGGTTATCTGCACAAAATGATATCAAAGATGATTCACCATTATAAGATGACTTATCCTTTATTTTATAATAATCACGAATTGTTAACCAAATTGGATCCAAAGTAGAATCTATATAAGTCAATCCATTTTCATGAAAGATACGTGATTTTTTAGCAACACATGGAGGTCCTTGGTAAAAGAAAAAAATGTTGAGTGGTAAATAAAGATAGTAGATGAAGATGCAAGCAAATTATTAGTTAAACAGGGTGATGGGAACTGACATTTAAGGTTGAACTAACATATTGTGACTGCCCAAAACAATGAAGAAGAAAAAGTTGCAAACTTACTTTTTAATATGACAACACTATATGGAATACACACTTGAATAATTTGGGATATCTCTTTGAATCTATTTACTCGTAATACAATTAAATCACATACAAGTACAGATTTAATTTTGACAATAATCAAACATGAACAGTCAATGTGAAACTCGAGATCATAGTATCAACGTTAAGTATTGTATTTTTCATATGATACACTTAGATACATAGGAAATATCATTATTTTTTTTATGCCATGGACGGCTGAAAATCAACAAACGTTTTCACAGTTTCCGTGTCCTGGTTGAGATTTTACAAGCAAAGCAGTTTTTCCTACAACACCTATACCTTTTTAAAATAATTTTGTCTACCTACAATTCAAATGTCTATAGTTTCCCGAGCTTTAGCGTCTATATTTAGCACCTCCCTAGAATTTTAATGAGTCGACTGAAATGCTTTCAACTATACTTCTTTGATGGTAGCACATGTATAATACAGGTTGATTACACTTAAAATGTAGTATAAAATATATAATCAGTGCAATCGGAACAAAAACTCAAATCTTACTTGAATCATCTTTTGGTTCAAGCTGTTTGACTGTTTGGTTAATTTGATTGCTACTTACAGAAACTTCTCGCTTTGTAGCATTCATCCAAGGTAATGGTGCAATTTTCTCTAGAACAGCAATGAAAAACCCACCAGTGTTTTGATCATGAGGTAAAACGCGTTTACAATGCTCCAAATGTAAATCTGATACATTAGATGGAGGAAATAAGGAAGGGCATATGTAATTCCGCTGGCTAAATTATTGTATGGTAAAAAGTAAATAACAAATGATACTATTAAGAGCATTAGTGGCAATAATAAATCTTTTGCTTAAGTAAATGCAGCTGAAGACAAAATTCTTTAAAGAAGTGATGGAACGGCGTAACTATTATTAAATCATTAAATCAAAGTGGTATTCTTATCTCTTGGCTATGAATTGATTGTCTAGTGACTCAAAATGGAGGTGAAATGGATATGGTTTACTAGCAAGATAACGGAGTCACACAGGAAAGATCGATTATCTATTTTGTAAGCAGTAGACGTTAGGGGTGAATGGTGAATCATGCTGAAGAATGCAGTAATTGATATTTATTAAAAAGCTCCAATCAATGGAAAATGTCAAAAACAAGCAACGTTTCTGTTAATTTTTCGAATGGGTTTGTGAACTTGTTACGAATAGAATGGTTAGAGGTTGTTTTGAGCATCACGAGATAATAACCTACCTAGATGTGTGGGGTTCGCGGAGTTGGAAAACAGTAAAGGAAATCACAGGTTATGCAAACCACGAAATATTAATTTGGATTGATTGTTTAAGAATTTAACTTCTGTTCACTGAGTTTCAGACCTAACTACATCAAATATTTTGATGCAGGGAGTCGGAGAATATCACTACCACTTACATACTTTGCTGTTCTTAATCACGATTTCATGTATCTTTCTGGTATTATTAGTTTGGCAGAAACGTAAACTATATTGAGTTTCGTGGCTAAAATGAAGTGACTGGATGTTCATCAAACAAGTATACTGATAAAGAGGGTTGAATCAAGAGATTATGCAATATATCTTAGTGAACACCTTCATTATATCTTGATGTAAGTTAGGGTAAGGGGAATCAGAGTAGAAATTATTACTTGAATATGTTATTAGTCCCATGTAAAATCAGGGGCTAATAATAATAACGAAAACTAGAGACTTTACTACAAAATATGCAATCGGATAGTTTAAAACGTCTAGATACCCTGTGGGGACTTCGTCATATGACGTAAACCAAACTCCTTTTTTGTCCATTATACGCCAATTGCTCAAACCCGATCTGAATTTAAATTTCTGTCTAATTGAATCCTTGTTTTCAGAAGAATCTGGTAATATGCGTTCTAAAAGATCCGGTTCGATTAACCGAACAGCTCCCCGACACGCGTGTAGCACTGAGGCCACAACAGCCTCATTTTCGACAGGATTAAAGCTACAAGTAGAATAAACTAGCCGAGGATAGCTTGTAGAATCTCCAACTGGATCACGCAAAAGCTCCAAACCCCTCTTTAAGATTCTACATTGTAAAGGATGTTCACCAATACCCAGATTAGGCGACCATCGTAACCAAAGGTCAGGATTTTTTCGAAGCGTCCCATCTCCACTGCATGGTACGTCTGCTAAAACACGATCGAACATTAGTTGGCGCAAATCTTTCTGACTAGTCTGGAAAACAAACGAGAAGTTTATAAATGGATCAAGAAAGATTAAGCTAACAATTAACTCAAAACCTACTCCAATTTATAAAATACCGTTCAGCAACAAAATGTCTTTCAGGAAATGGTACATTTAAATCGTTTTTATATGATCCACGATGGGTATCATTCGATATATGTCAGTCGGATACTTCTGTTACTATAAATTGATTATTGAGATATCAATTAACTTTATTACTGGTAAAACATTGGTTCAACAAAAGCTTGATAAAGAAGCAGTTCCAGTAAAAACTGAAAGAACGTCATCAAAATTACTGGCCAACTATATAGAGGCATATAGTAACTAAATTTGGGTCCGATGGATATGAAGTAGTGTGGATTATGCTGACGAATTACTTTACGTGACATTATTTAGGAAGTAAACAGCTTGAGATAAATATGTTCTACTCGTTCCAAAATAAATTTTACAATATGAAACTAGCATTTAGCACCATATTCTCGAAAGCAATCGTCAAGAAATTAATGTTTATTGGTATATAGCAACACAAAATTACTGACATCTTCATACATAATCTGACTAGACGTACTACTTTGTGAGAACATGTCAACCGCCAAAGTATTCCCTTGTCAATGTACTGCTTAGTGACTAGGCATTTCAGTCATCAAAGTTTTTTCTTAACACAAAACAGGAAATGAATAGGCAGGTTAATAAGAATTAAAAGTGATTCACTTTAATAAAGGTAAAATCTAAAAATCCAGGAAATTGCAAGAATAAGAAATTAAAAGCTATTTGTATTCATTTATCAGTGAGTTTCATTTGCTTTAATTTATTATTTATAAAATCTTATGATGAACAAACCTTTTCATCTGGTGATAGAGTTACATACAGACGTGGGAAGCATGTAGCGTCCTCTTGAGTTATCACAACACAAGGGCTTTGTAAACGTTTCACTTGATGAACCATCATATAACATCTTTTCTGATCAAAATCATTCGCAATAACCATTCCTGTAGGTTCAACATACTTTGGGGCATTTTCAACACCAATTCTCGATTGAACTGCCTCTGCATCAGAATGTAGCAATTCAACGAGTTGAGCAGATTTGGACCCAGGTGCAGCACATAAATCAAGGATTGTATGATGTGAGCGCACATCTAAAAGAAGCGGAGGTAGCATACTCACAGCCTCTTGACGACTGATGTTACCTAAAGAGTAATTAAATATTAATAATATTAATAATAATAAGTGAAATACAGTTTAATGTCGCAAATACAGGTAAGCCATGTTCATTCCTGTGTATACAAATCCAGTAAAAGAAATAACTAATACCTGTTCACTGATTGAAATAAAAACTAGTTGAAGTTTCCGAACGAGTAAAAAGTAATTTACAAATTACCAGTGACAAAAAAATCGAAAACTCCTCGAATGATTCTTCATTACAAGAAATCATGACAGTTATGGACTAACGATTTAAGTAATGTCCTATTATTTCTGAAGAGCTGACTCTCCCAACCCTCGGTCGTAACAGAACATTTCGAGGTCAAAAAATGTTATTAATAATAAAAAGAAAAATCGATCGAAATGTTTACCGAGAGACTAGAAAAACAGTTGTCGTTTTGTACTCTTATTTTATTTTATTTGAACACATAAATATTGGTACAAGAGAGCGCCAATATATATGCGCCACACAAAACAATGAAAATTCGAAGAGAGAAAAGAAAAAAAAACTAAGGAGCACAAAAGAAAAAGAGAACGATAACGAAGAGATTGGTGTAAGGTAGTGCGGTCGTAACGATGGAACGGAAAGGTACAATCAGAAGAAATCTTTCAAGTAAGGGAGACACAACCACTTTTTATGAAGAAAGTAAAAGAAGGTTACAGCAGGATCGCCACTGGCTTCTATTCTGGGCCATATCTGATAACGTCTCTAGCCACTGTGTAGCACCATCTCTCAGACCCCAACCAGGGAGTCGTGAAGGACCGACAGAAGCCAGTCCTTTGCAGCTTTCTTTCATACCACGACACCATGTTATGCACTGACCACCTCTCCGCTTTTTCCAACCAGTCCCAGAGTCGGCAAATAATGCACGGCGTGGAATTCTCTGGGACGACATTCGTAGAATATGTCCAAGCCACCGAAGTCGGTGTTTCAAGATGGTGACATCAATTGAATTATCATCTCTGTGCCCAAGCACACGATGCCGAACCTCTGCATTACTGACATGGTGTTACCACTGAATGTCAGCAATCCTTCGGAGACAGCGATGATCGAACACAGAGAGTCGTCTAACGTCCTCAACTCGGAGAGGCCAGGTTTCACAAGCATAGAGCAAAACTGCTCTCACCGACGCGTTGTAGATCCGACCTTTTACAGCCAGACTAACATCACGAAGGCGCCAAAGGCGGCCCAGATTGGCATAAGCCACTCTGGCTTTCACTATACGTGCATTGATCTCATCACTCACACCCCCACCAGCACTTATGCAGCTACCCAGATACACGAACTTCTCGACTACTTCTATCTGCTCACCATCCAGGGTGAGTACAGGATTGGAATCCTGCCAGTCTAGTAGAAGTACTTTGCACTTCGAAGGTGCAAAGCACATACCATACCTACGAACACTGATTGCCAACTGATTAAGTGCGGATTGCATGCCTTGGGCACTATCGCACAGTAAGACAATATCGTCCGCATACTCAAGGTCGAGAAGTCTTTCTCCAGGCAACAGATCCACACCACCATTACTTACATTCATCAGAGCTGTTTCCAGAATGTCATCGATGGCAAAGTTGAAGAGGAATGGTGAGATTGGGCAACCCTGCCTAACCCCACTACTCGAATGTAACAATGGAGAAAGGTGGTTGTATGCCCTCACTCTGCTTGAGGTGTTTTTATATAGGGCTTTCAGGATGTTAATAAACTTCTCAGGCACACCCTTCTTCAATAGACAATCCCAGAGAACAGTCCTGTCCAACGAATCGAAGGCAGCCCTGATGTCAAGAAACACTACGATTGTTGGCCTTTGATAAGTATGGCGATGTTCTAACATTTGGCGGAGGGTGAAGATATGATCAATACATCCTCGACCAGAACGAAACCCAGCCTGCTCCTCGCGAGTCAATCTTTCTCGGGTTTTGAACAACCTACGAAGTATGACGGAAGCCAATAGCTTGGACGCAATCGGAAGTAGACTTATCCCCCGATAGTTGTTGCAGGAACGACGTGAACCCTTTTTAAAGATAGGGACAACTATCGACTCATTCCATGACGTTAGTACACTCTCTAATTCCCAAACCTTTGTAAACAACGTCGTCAATTCCTTAGTCAAAAAGTCACCACCATCTTTAAAAAGAGCCGGAGGTAAGTCATCTGGGCCAGGTGATTTGTAACGCTTCAAGAGTTGGAGTTCCTTGCGGACTTCCCCCTCGTTTGGTGGATCAGTCGTCACCGGCCATGGAGGGCAGGACAGTCTGACCGATTTTGCCGGATCAGCAGGCCAGTTGAACTGCCCTTCGAAAAATTCTGCCCATCGTCCAAGACGTCGATGGATGTTAGTGATTGGCATCCCATCATCCTCGCAGATTGTTTCACTCACACCAGACTTCTTGCTGCCAGTGGCTCGGATGAGCTGGAAGAGCTTCCGGTAGTTACCAGATGCAGCTGCTGCTTCCAGCTCATTAGCACGCTCCGACCACCAGGCTTCTCGGTCCTTACGCAAGCTTTGCCCAATTTCCCTACGTAACATCCTTCGTTTATGGTCAAACTCACGGTCACCCGGAGTAGACCGACGGGCTTCAATGAGTTGTAAGGAACCAGAAGAAACCCAGTGCTTAAAAGCGGGACGTTTCGCAAACCCACAACTGACTGTTCCCGCCATTTTCATGGCGTCAAGCAATTGCAACCAATGCTCATCTATACTTTTCGGTGGAGTGGTAGCTAGCCTAGAGGCTAACTCGGTTCGATACTTGTTTGCAACAGAAGTTGCAACCAGCTTGCTAATATCAATCCTTTGATGGCGGTCACTTCGTTGTCCACTGAAAAGTAAGGCAAGATTGGCGCAGACCAAGGCATGGTCAGAGTCCAGATAGGTACTCCAAAAGGAGCGGCAGCCTTTTACACAACCACGCCAGCGGAAGCTGATCGCGATGTGATCAATCTGAGTCCAGGCTTGGGATGCAGAGGGAGGACGCCAGGTGGCACATCGGCGATGACTGTGCCGAAAGTTAGTGCTAGCCAGAAACAGGTTGTGGTCTGTGCAAAGTTGCAGTAGACGGTCCCCGTTATCTGACCTGCGACCAACGGGTCCCCATCGGTCACCTAAACGACTCTCTTCTGTGCCTAGACGCCCGACCTGAGCATTCAAGTCTCCGGCTAGTACTACAATATCTGTCGAGCGCACTTTCTGGAGAAGAACAGACAGCTGGTGGTAAAACTCATCCTTGATTGCATCCGGGCTGCAATCTGTCGGGGCGTAGGCGGAGATGACGAAAAGACATCGTTTCTCACGCCGATTTCTTCTCACTTTGATGGAACTTTCTAATCTAACAGCACATAACCGACTGTTAATGGGGATCCAATCGACTAGTGCTGCCTCAGCTCTAGCGCTTAGTGCGACACCAACGCCAGCAAGACCAGACGAAGATGCCACAGGGTCCCCGGATAAGCGCCCGTAAAACAAGCTTTTCGAAGCGACAGATGGAGATCGAATTTGTAGTACTTCGCCAGAGTCTTGAATACGGGTCTCGGATAGACAACAAACATCAATATTAAGACTTTCCAAAGACATAGCCAGCCCTATCTGTTGTCCGACCTGCACTAGTGTGCGAACGTTGAAGGCAGCCAGTTTGAATGGTGCACGTGGTTTCAGAAAAACTGCTTCAGTTCTCGTAATCGGTGGTAACATACAATTTTCAACCGGACAGTGACTCGAGAACGTTTAGATACAGTCGAATTTCCACCAAAGACGAGCCGCTGTATAAGTATAAAACAGGGTGAATAATGTGGAAAATAATAATAATAATAATAATAATAATAATAATAATAATAATAATAATAATAATAATAATAATAATAATGACAATAATGGTAATAATAATAATAGTATTAATAATGACAATAATAGTAATGATAATTATTTGAATCGATTGATTGTTTATCGGAGCGAGAAAATTAGTTGCCATAGTCATAGAGTTCATCGTTTGTGTGTGGGCTGTGATACTGCCCGGGTGCCCAAACCGAAGCAGGTGGTTATCTCAGGGGGCCACACCCCGAGCCTTTGACCTAATGGTGTAACCCACAAGGCAGTGGAACATCGTGAGGAGATGCAATCCCATGGTAGCCGGTGACCAACGATTGGTTCATACGCCATTTGTTCCCGCAGGATACTGGAGCCCATATGCACCATTGGTTTGTGATCCGGTTAAAGCGCCGGACGTTCGCTTTTCGTCCTCTCATTTTCGTAAACAACACCCCCGCCACGAGAAGGCAATGAGTAGGACTTCCCCGGCAGAGGCTGTATGCGCGCGGCCGTGTGAGAGTATTTCGAGAGGGAGAGCGGACTCTCCCCACTCTCGGCCGTAACAGGGCGTTCGTGGGCCTATACTGTTAAGAACATCGGAAGAAACAAAAAGGATTCCGAATACGTAAGATATAAAAGTTTCGAACTAATGATGCCATTAGATCAGTATTAGTGAAAGTAAAGGATGTAATACCATGGAAGAAGCAACAAGACTGTGCCGATTAATCAAAATGTTAGAAATGTGATGTTTTTTTACATGAGAAATATATCAAAACACTTGAATGTAAGGATGAAAAAGGATATAAAATACTTAAGACTTGTTTCCAGATTCTTTAGAAACTTTAAGGAGATTGAGAATAAATCACCCCCGAACGCCCTGGTACGGCCGAGAGTGGGGAGAGTCCGCTCTCCCTCTCGAAATACTCTCACACGGCCGCGCGCATACAGCCTCTGCCGGGGAAGTCCTACTCATTGCCTTCTCGTGGCGGGGGTGTTGTTTACGAAAATGAGAGGACGAAAAGCGAACGTCCGGCGCTTTAACCGGATCACAAACCAATGGTGCATATGGGCTCCAGTATCCTGCGGGAACAAATGGCGTATGAACCAATCGTTGGTCACCGGCTACCATGGGATTGCATCTCCTCACGATGTTCCACTGCCTTGTGGGTTACACCATTAGGTCAAAG